GGGATAAATAATGTATACTGCATTGAAATAGATGAGGGAGAGTACTGTTTAAAAGGAATATGTGATTGGATATTATTTTCATGACAAGTGTCGAGAATAAGAGCTACATAATCAAGTGGACTTTGGGAGAGTGGAGGATTATATAAAAATGAAAGAATATTTTTTTTCCACCTCAAGGAGAAGAGAGAACTGAGAAGGAAGGGTGAATAAGGAGGAAAGAGTGCAGCAATGAATAAATGGAAATCCAAAGTCTCTAAACTTTCATTAAGATTTTTTTAAAAAAGAGATTATAGTTTAAGGAGAGGTGTAGAGGTTTCAAGTTGTCAAGGGTGGAGTCTTGTCTTTAAGGTTGTGTGTCATTTTGACCATCTATTATTCCTTGATTTGGCAAGTATGATGCGGTCATTCCCATGATGAGTTTTGATGTAGTGTAATTAATCCCTTAAAGAGTTTTTTTTTCCCCTGCACAACCAATAATTTGTTTATTACAAATGCCTGATAAAAAATACTTGTTTATTTACAAGATTCGCATACGTTGTTTTTAATCATTTAAAGAGTCTTAATATGAATGACTTGTCCATTGGGGGGAAATTTGATGGGCTGTGACCTGCTGCTAGTATATGAAGAAGTCTGGCATAATGGGCTTAGTTTTTGCATAATCTTGAAGGTCTTGCACATGTCTCATTATCTCCTTGATCCCTGCTTTCTTTGGATTTGTCAATCTCTATAACTGCATTACTTGGACCTGTCACTTGCTTGCATCTACCTGTACAATCTCTCACACATGGGAGTTCTAGCGATATAATATTCAAGGAGTTGCACTATTAACCTAAAGACTACACTATGCTGGTGGCTCAAGTCCACCAGTGTCTCCATGGGAGAAAGATGGGTAATCTTTTATGTCATTTACAGCACCATTAAACTAATGGAAGATCAGCTATGAATTTATAATGACTACACAAACTGTGGCTGACTCTGAGAAGAATGGGAATCCCAGAACACTTGATCGTTCTAATGCGAAACTTATACTTGGACCAGGAGGCAGTCACCAGAACAGAGCAAGGGAACACTGCATGGTTCAAAATTGGGAAGGGTGTACGCCAGGGATGCATCCTATCTCCATACCTTTTCAACCTATATGCAGAACAGATTATCCGGGAGGCTGGGCTCTATGAGGAGAAATGTGGGGTCAGGATTGGTGGATGATTTATCAACAATCTGCGTTATGCAGATGACACAACCCTGCTTGCTGAAACTGAGGAGGACCTCATGCACTTGCTGCGGAGAGTCAAGGACTGCAGCCTTCAGTATGGACTAAGGCTCAATGTCAAGAAGACAAAGATTCTCACCACTGGACCAACTGGCAGCATCAGGATGGATGGTGAAGAGATTGAGATTGTACACAGCTTTAGTTTGCTTGGCTCCATAGTCAACAGTCTTGGCACCAGCAGCCAGGAAATTAGAAGGCGCATTGCCATGGGAAAGTCTGCTGTTAGGGACCTCTCCAAAGTGCTGAAGAGCAGTGGTGTCTCTCTGGAGACTAAGGTGCGTCTGATACAGGCCATAGTCTTCGCAATCACCTGTTATGCATCAGAGAGTTGGACAATGACCAAGGAGGATAGAAGGAGAACTGATGCCTTTGAGCTGTGATGCTGGAGAAGAGTACTGAGAATACCATGGACTGCTAGGAAAACAAATAGATTTGTCCTGGAGAGGGTTAAACCGGGTGGCTCCTTGGAGGCAAGGATTCTGAGGCTCCGTCTAACTTACTTCGGACATGTAGTGAGGAGAGACCGGTCCTTGGAGAGGGACATCATGCTTGGGAGGGTGGAGGGACGGCGCAGGAGAGGAAGGCCCTCTATGAGGTGGATTGATTCAGTGACTGGGATAATTGGGATGGGAGTGTCAGAGACAGTGTGATTGGCACAGGACAGAGCGGAGTTTAGGGCTGTTGTACATAGGGTCGCTATGAGTCGCAGGCGACCCGACGGCACATAACAACAACAACAACAACAACACATAGCAATGAGTCTAAGAACCTCTATTTTTATATCTATCTCTATTTCTCTATATCTATCTATCTATCTATCTATCTATCTATCTATCTATCTATCTATCTACCTACCTATCTATCTATATCTCATACCTGGGAGGGTTGGAGGGACAGCACTAGAGAGTAAAACCCTCTATGACATGAATTGATTCAGTGACTGACGTAATGGGGGTAGGTGTTTCAGGGACAATAAAGTTGGCACAGGATAGAGCAGGGTTTAGGGCTGTTTTTTATATAGATATAAACTATATATATATAACATATAATATAATACATATAATATAGAACACATGCTATATACCATATATACTGTATATATAGATATACACACATATATACCACATATATCTATAGACCACATGTACCTATAGACCACATGTACCTATGTACCCTATATATGTATTTGTGTAGAGTTGGAACTGACCCATAGCTGACCCTCCTGCATGTTTTCAGAGATAGTTACTTGCATGGGAGGAGATTGCCCATCTTTCTCCCACAGAGCAGTTGGTGGCCTTAACTACTGCATTCCTTCAGAATTGCAGTGTAGTTTCTTGCCCCTATGCCACCAGTGTGTGTGTGTGTGTGTGTGTGTATGCCATAGTCGTTGTTGTTATGTGCTGTAGATTCCCCTGTGACTCATAGTGACCCTATGTACGACAGCTCCGATACCTGCCCTGTCCTGAGCCAGTCTTACTGACTCTGACACACATACCCCCATTGCCCTTGTTACTGGAACAATCCATCTCATCCAAGATCTTCCTCTTCTATACTTTCACCTTTCCAAACATGATGTTCTTGTTCAATGACTAGACCCACCTGGCCATTTGACCAAAGTATGTGACACAGAGCTTCAAAATCCTAGCTTCCAAGCAGAAATCTTGGTTTTACCCTTTCCAAGACAGACCTATTTGTTTTCTTGGCAGTCCTTAATATGTTCAAGACTCTTCTCCAGCACCACATTTCAAAAGTATCGATTCTTCTTCTGTCATCCTTAGTCATTGTGCAACTCTCTGATGCATAGCAACTAATTGGGAAGACCATGGCACTTAGTATCTAGACTGACATGGTTACTTCTCAGTTCTCTGGAGAGATCCCTGACAGCAGATTTCCCCCAGTACAATTTGTCTTTTGATTTCTTGAGTGCTGATGCCAAGAGTACTGATTGTGTATTGGGTTTTTGAAGGCCTGTTTTATTTCGGAAGTGGATGGCCAATCCTTCTTCCTACTCATTCTTAATTTGGATGCTTAGCTTTAGAGCAATATCTGACAAGCATTTTACCAAAAGGAGGAAATAAAAGACAATTCCCCTTACAAAAATTACCAATACAGTGTTCCCCAACCTCCGGTGGCACATGTGTCTTGTCCCTTCCCTTGCCCTCTACATCAGCATTCCTTACACTCCCACCTACCCCGCCCAGAACCTCTCTCCCCACAGCCACACTTTGATATTATGGCTTAAACCACAGTAACTTCTAGGATGTCTTACATCTGACACTGCTGCTGGTCTCTCACACTGATGCCTGTCTCCTATAAAAAGGAACTGTGTTGCCAACTCTGTGGTATGCAATTTAAATCCACCAGCTGCTCTGAGAGAGATGGATGGGCAGTCTCCTCTGATACAAGTTCCTGCCTCTGAAAACCTGCTGGAGGGTCAGCTATGAGTTGCTTACAACTCTACATACACAAGAAAGCACGTGCACGCACACACACACACACACACACACACACACACCTGCTGATGTTGTCCATGATTCATACATAGTGTTGTGTTCACCAAAAATTTTATTCTACCAACAGTTCTGTGGCCAGTCTCCTGTTAATATTTACAACTTTGGAAACTCAGTGGAGGGTCACTATGATAGAACTTAATTCAGTGGTAGAGGATTTTGTATAGAGAGAGAGTGTGTGTGTGTGTGTGTGTGTGTGTACAGAGAGAATGCATGAGAGAGTGCCCAGGTGATCTAGTCCATAAGGATTTTCTCTTGCTCCAAGGGAGAAAGATGGACAATCTCCTCCCACACAATTTATAGCCTCAGAAAACATGCTGGTGGATCTGCTATGCTTTGATTCTAACTTGATGGCAATGAGTTTGAGTTTTGCCAGTTGACCTTGATATTCTTCACAACCATGGTCCTAAGTTCCCAAGCTGTGATTTATTCCCTTTCCATTTAGTTATGGTTAAGAAGTTGAATTAAATTGAAAAAATATGTTGTAAAAATATATATGTTGCATTAAAAATCATTAATAATAAAAAATACTAAAAAATTTAAAATAAACATTCAAAAAACAAAAGAACCTTTTGTGATTGTAAAGAATAAATGTTATAAGTTTAAAAATTAAAAAAATACAAAAAAGTTGAAATAACGTCTGTTTAATGTTCTTACTTTCTCTTCAAATACATTAAAGTTTCTTTTATGGTCCTGCTTAGAAAGACACTAATAATCAAATCACACCTAGTAGTTTCAAGACTCTATTTCCTTTTGGCAAGTGAATGCTTTCTTTTCCCTTGCATGCCCCACAGATGCAGAAAAAGTGGGGAGTGCAGATTGGAATTTTATCCCTCAGCCCCTGTTAAAAGTAAGAGTTTGATTAAAGTGTCTGATAATTCCAGGGATCCTTTCTCCATGTCAAGTGGGCTTTTTTTTCCATGCAAGCAGATGTCTGTTCTGTGCGGACACTGTTCTCAGCCTTTCATCTAGATGATATCATATAGCACTCAGCACAATGCTTCCAGGTAGGTGATGTTTCTTTACTGTTTTACAAATGTGCAAACAGGGTGGCTCAAGAATTTGTCAAAGATCAAACTTCTAAAAAATGACATGGCTTTGCCTGCATCCGAAGCCAGATCCCAAACTGCTCAATGGATTGTGGACACCGCTATAGAGAGGTTGATAACTCTTTTCTTTAATGAGTGGAGGATTTGATGATAGTTCTTTATTTGCTGCAGAGAAGGGCATTGAGAACAGCTTCAGAAAAAGTCAGAAACCGGTCATCTTTCTCTACCAATGTTGTCTACACCACGCCTAGCACTCGTGTCAACAAGTACATCAGTCGTCTCTTGGAGGCCCGGCAAACAGAGTTGGAGATGGCAGACTTGAAGTTCTTCACCCTGAGGTACAAGCACTTTGAACGAGAGCAAAAGGTTAGTGTCTTAGGGCCTGAAGTATAAGTCAAAACTCTGAGAGCCCACCTCTTTGGCCTCAAATCCTTGCTTTTTTTCTGTTAACCAAGGGTGTGTCCTTTCTGGGCAGTGTGCCAGGTATATGTGAGATTTTGCATGCCACTTGCTGGGGTTTGTGAGCATTTAGCATTCTCTCTCTCTCTCTCTCTCTCTCTTCTTACAGTATCACCAGCTTCAAGATGAATACTTCACCAGTGCTGTTGTTCTTTCACTCATTCTAGCAGCCTTATTTGGCCTTGTCTACCTTCTTATAATCCCACAGTAAGTGTTGTCTCTAATTTAATTGATTTTCTGAGAAACTGTCAAGAATGTATGTTTCTGGTGTTGATAATTGTGTTTTCAAGGTTTACCTCCCATGGTTGCTCTAGCTGAAGTGCCATTGTGCCCAATGGGAAAGAAATCAGCCATGCAAACATTCTACTTACCTAACAAGTAACTTTATAACACTTGATGGTAAACAGTGCTTGACTCTTTTCTTTTTAAAATAAATTTTTAAATTGTGATTTGGAGTTTTTCCTGGAAGGAAAAAGGCCTCTGAAAAATGAGTGGCTTTCAGGCTTGCCTAAGATCTTGGTAGTGGGTGGTAGGTAGTGGGATGATGTGAGATGGGCATAAAAAGGTCTGTGCTCACCTAAGAACCCTTGCATGCCCTCTACTAGAGGAGAGAGAGCTGTAGGCAAGTCCCCAGAGACCTGGTGGCAGATAGTTTTGTTGGGATGTGTTGGATGTGAAAGTTGGGCTCCTATCCAACAGTGAACGGCATGCTCTCCTATCTCCCCAGGAACCTGGTGGTCCTGGTCCTGCTTGTGTTTAGCATTTGCTTCTTGATGGCATGTATCATGTATCTGCATATCACACAAGTCCAGGTATGTATGCAGTTATGCTACTCTGCCCAGCAGGATGGTAGCAGAGGCAAACAGAAAGTAGCTGCTCACTAAACATTTGTAGAATGTCCATAACATGTGTGGTTTGTTGGGTCTTGTCTTCTCAAGGCTAGGAACTTGAGGTTATAACCCTGTGCTGCAGGAGTGGGAATGTCATGAGGACACTGGAGAGAAATTAATCCTTGTGAATTTCAGTTCATAGATTCAAAGGGCAGGAAATGGTATGTTCTAGGAATGCTATCTACACTGGTCAGTGACTCTATTTAGAGTGAAGGGATGGAATTTCCATCCCTGTACAACCATGGCTCTTCAGAAAGATTTCTGTTTTTCTAGGCCTGCATTTCTTTACATAATCCTCTACATGCTTGGCAGTTTGAATGCAAACAGGGGCACTTCAGAGACAAGCCTTGGCATTTGTTTTTATTGGGTCACAACTCTGAAAGCTCTAAGGAACATACTTCTGCCTATGCACATCATTTAGTATTACATTAAGTTAAAATTAATTCAGTTGCAAATTATTTTGCTTTTTGCATATTTACTATTTGCATTATTTTGCATCGTATCTTCAACTTTGTGTTCTCAGATCCCATTCTCCCTAGTATGGAATCAATTATCACAACTTCCTAGTCCTCAGTTACAACATCTGGCTGACACAGTGTTATGTTTGCTGGGATTTGAAATGCTGATGGGACAGCTTCCGACATCTCAGCAACATTCAGGCCACCACGGTATGGCAAACTGACACATTAGTGGTGGCCTGCTTCATTAGATCTTCTCAAACCAGACAGATAATTTTTGTTCATAAAAAAGACATTGAACCTTGAGAACCACTAAGTCCCACAAACATATATAGAAGAGGCAAATGGCTGGGATATTTTACTTTATACTTTGACAAGGCAGCTCCCCCTGTGACAGGAAATTACCAGAATATTTCCTACCTAATGACCATGGAATGTTTTCACTTCCATGAAGCATTTTTCTAAATTTTTCTAATCATGCGCTTGTTTTATTATACTAGTTTGTTTATGTATTTATTTATGCATTTATGTATGTATGCGTGTACTTATAAATTTAAATACATTGTTTGTCACACCATTTTTCTAACCCACCTCATCAAATTGTGCAACCCCATAATTAATTTCCTCCCCTCACACATCCTCACCCCTCTCCTTCCCCCCGCCCCCGCCCTTCAAGGGGTGCTCTAT